TCTCAACATAAAAAACAAAGAAGGTTTTGTCAACGACACCGTCAAAGAACCACTAGAGACGTTCACCGCAGAACTTTAACAATGGAGGCGTTGCAACAACCTTGTCAAGGCATGGTTGTTTAATTCAATTGCAGAAGATATTGAAACAAGTATAATATACAACGAGAGTACCCATGAAATCTGGCTCGACTTGAAGGAACGTTTTTCTCGTACCAACAACGTTCATATTTTCCATGTCGAAGAAGCCATCCACGATTCCAAGCAAGGCGATATGACAGTTGGAGCTTATTACACCAAGCTCAAAGGCCTATGGGACGAATGTGACGCCCTTCATAACATTCCTAAATGTACGTGTGGTGTCATGAAGGAAGTGATGCAGTTTCAGCAAAACCAAAAAACCATGAAATTCCTCATGGTGCTTAATGAAACATACACTAGTATAAGAGGACAAATTTTGCTCATGGATCCCCTTCCCAATGTCAGCAAGGCACATTCTCTCGCGCTCCAAGAGGAAAAGTAGCACTGCATGAACAATGTAAATGCGCCGCAACCGGAAGCTTTAGCTTTTGCCGTGAAGAATAATGCACGAAAACCAAAGAAGATTTTCACGCCTAAAAATCCTCATTTAAAGTGTGGAAAATGTGACACAATTGGGCATTCCTCAGACACATACCGAGCACATCTCAAATGCAATTATTGTGGATGACAGAGACACACCATCAATGATTATAGGAAGCTGCAAAAGATCAATCCAACGGATAAATCTAAATGGAAAAATTTTGCTCCCAAAGTCAATCATGCGGATACCAATACATCGACGAGTCCTGCACCATTCACCCTTACAGCCGAACAATATCAAAGCCTCATCTCACTACTTGCAGAGAATAAATCTAATTCGATGGCTAATCATGTTGGCAATACATCAGCCATAAGTGATACCTCAGGTAAAATCTTTTGTCTATGTTTTTGATAAAGAAATAAGCTGGATTCTTGACACAGGAGTCACGGATCACATGATATATTCAGCCAACCTATTTACTACAAAATCCAGTGTCATCAATTGAAAACAAAAAGTTCACTTGCCTAACGGGGCTACTGCAACTGTCACATACATAGGCAACATCACATAGGCAACATACATTTTGCTGACTTTGTTCTACAAAATGTTTTATGTGTCTCATCCTTCAAATTAAATCTGATTTTCATTAGTAAATTTGTGTTTGATTCACAGTGTCTTGCCATTTTTAATAACCACACTTGTGTGCTACATGACCAACAATCGGGGAAGATGATTGGGACGAGAACTAAAAGAGGACTCTACTAACTTGATACCCCACAAAAGAGCAAGTGCAATGCTGCTACTTTACCATCCCCAAATCTCTGGCATAAACGTCTAGGCCACCCATCAAATAAAGTTTCCAATTTGTTTCCTTTCCAATTATAGAAAAGAAAATTTATAATGTTTTTTATTGTTTAATTTGACCATTGGCTAAGCAAACTCGTTTATCTTTTCAAACAATTTTCACTAGCTCAAAAACACCTTTTGAATTAATTCATGTTGACATTTGGGGAGGATACCAAGTTCCTTCAATCACAGGAGCGCGGTATTTTCTCACAATTGTTGATGATTATACTCGATGCACATGGGTTTATTTGATGAACCATAAATCAGATACACATTCATACATCATCAAGTTCATAAACCCCGTTGACAATTCAATCTAAAAAATCAAAATCATTCGAGGTGATGGTTCTGAATTCATATTGAGAAATCTCTATCTCAACAAAAGAATCATTCACCAATCAACTTGCGTCTCCACTCCGCAAAAAAATGGTGTAGCCGAAAGAAAACATTGTCACTTACTCAACATAGCCCGAGTCTTATTGTTTCAAGCTAATTTACCTAAAAAATTTTGGGGAGATACAATCCTAACTACCACCTACCTAATCAACGGAACACCAACACCCCTTCTCCAAGGAAAGACTCCTTTTGAAATGCTCTTCCAAACAAAACCCACATATGATCATTTGCGCGTGTTTGGGTGTCTTTGTTTTGCCTGAACACATCATCAGCGACCAAACAAGTTTGATCCCAGAGTCATTCGATGTCTTTTCTTAGGGTATCAATACGCGCAAAAGGGCTATAGAGTCTATGACCTTTCAACTGGGAAGTTTTTTGTATCACCAGATATTCGTTTCCATGAAAATACGTTTCCTTCCCCTTCTTTCGCTACAGATAAGGGCTCAATTTCGCACTTCACCACCCACACCGACATGCCTTCATTCGATGAATTACCTCAAAAAAATATTTTATCTTCTCAAGACAACGAAATCTCCTCTCAAGAAACTACTTCACCTTCAAATTTATTCTCAGAATAACCTGGAACTCTAAACCAATAAATACCATCACCACGACCAATAAGAACAACAAAAATGCCTAGTTATTTGCGTGAGTATCATGTTGGTATTTCTCTTCCCTCAAGACACCCCCAACATCAAACTTTGTGTGGCCAAAACCACAGGTACCTTCTATCCATTAACCGACGTCTTGTTATATGCTAGATTGTCACATAAACATTATTTTTTTACCACCGCCCTTTCAATTGAAAAGGAGCCAAGCACCTTTATAGAAGCCACTCGTAATCAAAAGTGGCAGGTTGCTATGCTAGAATAACTTGATGCACTCAACGTCAATGACACATGGTCCATTGTATCATTACCGCCTGGAAAGAGACCAATTGAATGCAAATGGGTATAAAAATCAAACTTCGGGCAGATGGGACAGTTGAACGCTACAAGGTCAGATTAGTGGCAAAAGGGTATAAACTAATTGAAGGGCTAGATTACCAAGAAACCTTTGCCCCTGTAGCAAAGCTTGTAACTGTTCGCCTACTTCTTGCGTTAGACATGCATCTTCACCAACTAGATGTCAACAATGCTTTCTTGCATGGGGACCTCGACGAAGACATATATATGTCGCTACCTCCTGGCCTCGGACGAAAAGGGGAGACTCGAGTTTGTAAACTCTAAACTCCACAAATCATTATATGGTCTCAAACAAGCTTCAAGACAATGGTTCATCAAGCTTTCAACTGCTCTAAAGCAAGCCAATTTTATGCAATCAAAGGCAGACTATTCTTTGTTCGTCCAATCCCAGAATGGTAAATTCATCGTCCTTCTTATATATGTAGATGATATCATCATTGCAGGAAAAGACTTACAATAAATCGAACATGCCAAAATATTCTTGAAGAACCAAATCAAATTAAAAGACCTTGGACAATTGAAATATTTCCTTGGTATTGAGGTTGGCGAATCCAGAAGGTTATGCTTTCACACCGAAAGTATGCTCTTGAAATACTCGAGGATGTTGGGTACCTTGGTGCAAAACCAGCCACTTTCCCTATGGAGCAAAACTTATCTCTTAGCAATTCAGAGGGAGAATATGTCAGTGATCCATCATCATACCGAAGACTAGTTGAGAGATTAATCTACTTGACTATCACACGTCCTGACTTGACATATGCAGTTCATGTCTTAAGTCAATTTATGGACAAGCAGTCCATCACATTTTACATTATATAAAACAAACAGCAGAACAAGAAATTTTCCTCTCAGCAGAAAGCTCAATCCAACTAAATGTCTTTTGTGATGCAGATTGGGCTAGGTGTCGTGACACTCAAAGATCAATTATTGGGTATTGCATCTTCCTTAGGAGTTCATTAATTTCTTGGAAAACCAAGAAACAGACCACAGTATCACGCTCTAGTGCAGAAGCTGAATATCGGTCCATGGCCACTACCTGCTGCGAGATTATTTAGCTAAGAACAATTCTGTAAGATTTGGGGATCATGCATTCACATCCTGCCACTTTATTTTGTGATAACCAAGCAGCACTTCACATCGCCTCGAACCCGGTATACCATGAGCGAACAAAACACATCGAGATTGATTGTCATCTCATACGGGAGAAAGTTCAAAAATGAATAATAAAGTTGACTAATGTGTCTACTTTAGGACAACCAACAGACGTTTTAACAAAACCACTGAACTCTTCTCAATTTTCGATACTACTCAGCAAGTTATGAATTATTAACATACATTTCAAACTTAAGGGAGAGTGTTAGGAGTTATGATAGGAGTTACCATGAACGAACAAAGCACATCGAGATTGATTGTCATCTCATACGGGAAAAAGTTCAAAAAGGAATAATAAAGTTGACTAATGTGTCTACTTTAGAACAACCAACGAACGTTTTCACAAAACCACTGAACTCTTCTCAGTTCTCGATACTACTCAGCAAGTTATGAATTATTAACATACATTTCAAACTTGAGGGGGAGTGTTAGGAGTTATAATAGAAAATAATTCATTCCTGTAAATAAATTATTTCCTTAGAATTAATGAGATATTTGTTTTCTTATTTTACGTTATTTCCCATATCTCCTAATAATTAATATGAATTAGTTATTTTAATTATTGGAGATATCAGGTGTTATACCCTTTCTTTCATATCATTTTCTTTTATTATTTTTCCTATTACAAGATTCTTGTAAAGGTTATTTATAATGTTGTTCATATCAATGAAATATTGAGTATTCCACCACATTATTCTAAATTTTAACAGTTCTCATCTTCCAACGTGTGTAATGCTCTGATATTATATGTGACAGTCGAACTTTCACACATCAAGGTATTATTCGCTTTGGCCAAATAACCTCACGGTTTAGCCCCGTTGGTGAAACTTACTAGGAGGCCACCCATCCTAGGATTTCTTCAACATGAACACGTTTAACTTTGGAGTTTCTATCGAAATTCTACCGTTACACCAAATGGCGGCTCGATGTTTAAGATTTTAGCTTCATTCTATTTAAGGGGTTTCAAAATTTCAAACTAGTTAATTTCACATGACTGAACAAATGCAATTTATCCAATAAGAGAACTTTATAATTACTGAAACAATATAAAATTTCATTGTTTACATTTATTCTAGTCATTTCTCCAAGCAATAACCCTAAACTTGGATAGAAGTCTAAGAGAATGCGGCAGAAATTAGTCAATCAAAAAACTTGCGGAAGTTGATAAGACCAAAACGCAAGCAAGCTCTGCAACCTGTCAAATTTACAAATTGATGTGGCATGCTACAGAATCATTCACACCGAGATCATAGGTCTAATGAGCTGGCATAACCTGAAGTAATAGAAAAGCTTTGTCCCTAGAAAGCCATCCTATGGCACCTTCTTTGATTAATCTGCGAAGAAATCCAAATAGTCCGATTCACATTTCCCCGAACAAATCAACGGACAAAAGACTAACAAAGAAAGTGTTTGGAATAACCTTAAGAAATTACCTTGGTAGTCTAATATGTATGAATCCAATGTGACCCCTTCCAGCCACAAGCCAGGGAAAAGCCCCTGCCAAATTCAGAAATAGCGTTACAGACAACGAAAGACACAATAGAAATTCCCTCCTACAAAACAGGAAGAAGAAGAAAGAATTAGAAGGAATGTATTCGTTTAAAATCCCATATCCTCTCACATCGAGTTTTCGCTGCACAATCCTAGGCCTCTTTTGGGGCCGTCGAGAGGGTTTCATCCCCTTGAATACGTAGAAATCCGCTTCAATCTCCTCACGCGAAAGAGATACAGAGAACCTCCACCGCCGCTTCTGTCCCCCGCCCTCCAACATTTGATCGGCTCTACCTGGATCATCCCTTCCAAACTGCAAATGAGAAGGAGGAATCATAGAGTACCGACTTCCGCCTTTCTCACCCGGAGTAAGACACGCTGCACGCCGTTTCCTAAGATTCCACGGCATAGTCGTGGTCGTCGCAGCCGCAGCGAGGGCCTCCTTCTCAATGAATCCGCCAGCCGGAGGTGTACTGCTCTGAACCCTCCTGCAATGGCCATCTCTCCGGATCTCCATATCCTTCGATACAGCATCCGAGAGCCCGGTTTCAACGATGGAGTTCACGCAGCGGAAGATCCGATGCCGGCCCCAACTCATCGTCGGAAATGAGAAATTATGTAGGGGATGCTTCAAAACCCTTTTATTTGGAAAGTCGCCGGCCGACATATTCCGGTTAGGGCCGGCGAACTCTGTCCGGCTCCAGTTAGCTTGGTCCCCCTTACCAAGCTGAAGTCGGAAGCCACTTTGACGGTCGGCAGAGCACTTTGATGAATCGAACGCCGGCGACTCCGAAAGGGCAGCGGCGGCGGAGCTGACCGGAGTATAGCTAATGTATGAAAGAAGAGAAGGATTGGAAAACTGAAGAAGAAGACGACGGCGGAGCGATTTTCGGCAGGGGTTCGGTTTCCGGTTGAGCCATTTTATAGTGGAGGGATCGTTGCCTTACTTCAGTTGCAGACGGTAGCCCGCATTTTAACATCTATGATCCTCAAAACCTTCTTAATTACATTTCACATGTCTAAAACTTATTATTTACGTATCTATCCTTCTACACGTTAATTTGATCCGAACCCAAATTCAAAAATTCGGATTTAGGTTGACCTAAAAGCTATTCGAGTTGGGCTTTGGTTAATAACATTAACCCATTTAACTCTTTGGGTCGTGTTTTGATTAACTCTTCAACTTGAATTAGACCTGAAACTTACCCACTAATAAAAAAATCAGCTAAAAATTAGTGTTATTAACGATCCAATTTCAAAGTGAGATAGGCTCCTATCAAAATCAACTCGAATGGATTGAGTGTGGCTTGAAAACAGCTTCTGAGTCGTTGAATTTGATTTCTAACCAATTTGGCTTGAAATTGAATTGAGCTTGATCTTGCTTGAAATCGAAATGAGCTGGCTCAAATCAAGTTATTTGGACATGTTCTAGCTCAAAATCAGCTCGAAATTGACTCGTGACTCATTTATATTTAAATTTATTTAACATTATATATGTATATATAATTAAGAAAAAGGAATTTGTATTTCTTCTCTTCTTCCTCAATTGTACAAAGAATGGTGGTATTTATATAAGTATTCTAAGATTTAGAATAGGGAAGAAAGTAAATTAAAAGCAGAAATTAAATCTAGACATCAACATATGGAATCAATGTTAATTACATCATATCATGACATTTACACCATATCAGGGCAATTAATGTCATTGATTTATTTTCGGTAATTATGTTAACATATCATGACATTTACACCATATCAGGGCAATTAATGCCATTGATTTATTTTTGGTAATCATGTTAACAACCCCCCACCCCCTCTTCCTAAAGCTCATCTTGAGTTTGCTCGACAGATCTTGAAAATGTGTTGGAGAATGAATTTTGGTAAAGATATCAATTGCTTGGTTAGCAGAGGCGACGAGAATTAAAAGTACGGTGTTTTGACTAACATGATGACGAACAAAGTAACAATCAATTATAATGTGTTTAGTAAGTTCATGAAAAATGCTATTATTAGAGATTTGTATAACACTTCTATTATCACAATGAAGCCTAGTAGTTGAAGATCACATATCAGATAACAACTAGTGTAGTCGAAGTAATTCAGATGTGACGTCAGCTAGAGCACGATACTCAGATTCTGTGTTTGAACGAGCAACAACTGCTTGCTTCTTGCTACGCCAAGCGATAAGAGAATCTCCTAAGAAGAAGTAATAACCAGTGGTAGAACGATGATCTGTGGGATCACCTGCTCAATCGATATCAGAGTAGCCAAAAAACACCAAAGAAGAGTGTGCAGAAAAATGTACACCATGAAAATGTGTACCTTTAATATATCGAAGTATTAGAGGAACTGTAGAAAATTTTGATGAGCGAGGGGCAGACATGAATCGACTGACTTAGTGAACAACATATGTGATATCAGGTCGAGTAACAAAGAGATAAATAAGACTACCCACAAGTTGTTGATATAGGGTAGGATCATTAAGAGGAGTGTCATCAAGAGGAATACATTTGCAATTGAGTTCCATGAAGGTTGATATTGTTTTTCTATCAGTAAAGCTCACTCGAGAGAGTAGATCAGATGCATACTTAGCTTGAGAAAAATAATAACCTTCAGAGTTATGAGAAACTTCAAGCCCCAAAAAATAATTGAGATTGTCAAGTTCCTTCATTTCAAAACATTGACTGAAAAAATCTTGTACCTCGGAGATATTAGATATTTCATTACCTGTTATTATCATATCATCAACATAAAGTAACAGAAGTACAATACTTTAATCAGTTTGACGAACGAATAGTGTTGAATCATGTGGACTAGAGATAAAACCCAATTGAGTAAGAGTAGAACTAAATTTGGCGAACCAGACTTGAGGAGCTTGTTTTAATTCATACAAGGATCGTTGGAGTTTGCGGATTTTATGAGGAGAGTGATAACAAGGAGAAGCATGCATGTACATCTCTTCTGGCAAGTCACCATGAAGGAAGACATTTTTAACATCCAAGTGAAGAAGCTTACATCCAAGTGAAGAAGCTTACATTTATGAACTGCAGCAATAGCTAATAGACTACAGACTGATGTTAATCGAGCAATTGGAGCAAAAGTTTCTTCAAAATCTATCTCATATTCTTGAGTGTAACATTTGGCTACTAAGCAAGCTTTGTGGCGCTCAACGGATCCATTATAACAAGTCTTGAATTTATAAATCCATTTACATGCAATAGGGGACTTACGAGGAGGAAGATCAAATAGGTCCCAAGTATGAGTTTTTTCCAAAGCCTGAAGTTCTTCCGATATAGCTTGCTGCCAAAGAGGGTCAGTACTTGTCTCACGATAAGAGAGAGAGGCTCATGAAGGGTTTGCAATAGCAGAATAATAATGGAAATCAGTAAGGGAATGAGGAGTTTCTCTTACCCGGGTAGTTTCTCTTACCCGGGTTAGAACGACGAAGAGTGGTGTCAAGGGTAGGTGGAGGTGGAGGTGTAGGTGCAGGTGCAGGATCAATAGCTGGAGCAAAATCAATAGAAGCAGGTGTGGAAGACCAACTATTGAGCGTACCTGAATTTTTTGTGTCAGGACTTGGAAATAACTCGATTGAGCCGATTCGTGTACGGCTCAAAATCGGCTCGAAAAAAATTTGATCCATTATTTCAACTCATAGCTTGATTTGTTTATTTTGATATGATCTCAATCCTAGACAAAATTCGAATTGATTTTTAAGTGATTGACCATCCAAACTCAATTCACAGTTTTACCCAAACTTAATCCACTTACTCGTAACCAACCTGAATTTGACTCGACTTTGACTTGGGCATGTGTTTTTTTATTGTCTCAAGCACATCAAATTATTTATATGAAAACTGTGTATTTTATTTTAAGAAAATTAATATTAGCAATTTATTTTAAAGATATATTGTCATGTAACTAAATATTAAATTTTAGGTGTTAGATATATATACTCTCAAAAATTATGTGGAAGTATGTATACATGTAAAACCCCTTAATAAAAAAAATGAAGACTACATAATAAAATTAAAAAAAAAAAAAAAAAAAAAAAAAAAAAAGTTCATATGAATTTTAAAAAATATACAAGATCAATGTGCAAATTATGCAAATAAATTAGTAGTTGATGGGATTTTAATTCTCCATCACAACTCAATCTCACACATAATAACTCCTAACAACTAATAAAAATATATTTCATGTGTCACCACTCCTTAAAATAAGAATATATATATATATATGAGGGTATATATATATATATATAGTGACATGTTACTAATGTTAGTCATGATGTGATGCTCTTAGTAAGTGGATACCATTAATTAATAAAATTATTATTATGAATTTGTATAAATTTGAAAGATTATTGAAGGTGTGTAGCCTTTACATATTGTTTCTTGCTACAAGAGTACTAGAGTTAGATTTTACAAAAGAAAATAATAATAATAATAATAATGAATAGATATTTAAAAAGAGTTTGAAATAAATAAATGGATTTGAGATGTCACTTAGAAGAGAATATATTTTTATTTATTAAATTTTGGGATAATGTACGTTCTTATTACATAAATTATACTTTGAAGCATAATGCTGAATCCTTTTTGGACATTACATCCCAAATTGTCTGTGGGCTCACATAATCTAGGGTGGAGTCATGATGGAAGTAGAAAGGGAGTGAAATGCACAATGACTTCTCAAACAGACTAAATCAGGTCTTTCAACAAGGAAAATAAAAATGATAGAAAGAAAAAAAGAAAAGGATCATCTAGAGGTGGGAGATTATCTCTATTTATAGGCTCCAAGATGATCCATATCTCTCATTGAGTTACAAAGAAAAGTTATTAAATAGTTTTAGTATAGTACATTATATGTTCATGTTGTATTTTGATATCAAGTCATCATGTTGTGGATGTCAGATGACCATAATTAGACATAGATATAAGTCCTCATCTTGTTGGTGTTAAATACCTTTAGTTAGTTTTGAGACAATTAAAACACCTAAATGTTGATATAATGATCTTGGGTCAAATAAAATAATGCAAGATGTTCGATAGATTATTTTGAGACCATGAAAAATATAACCAAATGCTTCTCTAAATAATTATAAATAAACTTTTTTTTAACATGAAAACGGCCTATGCTTGATTTTGAAAATAATTGAAAATATAAAGAATTTTAGAGCATTATTGGATGAGTAATTTTGCATCACCATCAACAATTATTGTCATTTGAGTACTATCACTTGATCAACATTGACTCTTCATCATCTTCTTATGGTTATTATTTAATTATTATACCTTACAATTGTCATGTAATTGTTATCACTCAATCACATCTATCTGACTACCATCATCCGACTATAATCGCTTGACCATTATCGCCCAACCACCACCTCTCAATTGTTGTTATCTAACAATTATCTATCAACCCTTGTCTTTAGACCATCACCACTAAATTATCATTGCTCAGCAATTATCATTGTCTTTCATAACTTTCACAATATAAATAATAAACCACACAAGTGCTCCCACTGTTATATTTATGTCTTCTCTAATTAAAAAGAAGATTATACTTTTATAATCTAGTGGATTATTTCAACTAGATATTGTTTTATGATTTTTTCCCTTATTATTTTTTTCACGTAAAAAACTGTCGCTCATGCTCACTTCATTTTGTTTATTTGCATGCAAAACTAAGAAATATAATCACTCACTCAACTGTCGTGCATCTTATAACACTCAAAAAAATTGATGACATTTTTATTAAATGGACTCAAGATTAGTGCATATGTAAGATGAACCTAATATTAATTAAGGATGTTAAGAGTCCAATGCAAGCGACTAAATTTTTTTGTAAACTTAAGTTATTGAGATGTTGTCAGCAAAATACCAATTTTGAAAATTATTATTGATGTATACTTTAATAG